GGACAAGTTCATATTACAGATTTAGGAATTAAGGTACCAATAAAAATATGAGGAATAGATCTTTTAGTACCATATTACATAGATAAGAGTATGGATATAAATCTCCATATACTTTTAGGAATGAGTTTTCTAAATGGATTAGAAGATTATAGTATAAAAAGAAAATGATTATATATTGTTCATAATGGACAAACTACATTATGTAAAAAAAATTAGATGAATAATCAAATAAGTTTTCCATTAGTTGTGTATATACAAATTACTATTGTAAAAACAAATATAACAACTTGTGCTTTAATAGATACAGGAAGAAATATAACAATATTTAAAAGTTTTTTTAATAAAATCATGGAATAATAATAGTAATATAAAAATAATTAGAGTTATAGGAGAAAGTACTCAAATAATTAATAGTGTTGATAAAGTTAATATAATTCTTGGCAATAAACAAGTAACAATAAATAAAATTTATAAATATTATAAATTAGAATGTGATATATTATTATGAAATGATTTCATACAACAATTTCAATATTATAAGCAAAATAATTATATGATAATGCTACAAACACCTTGTGTACACTTATTAAAAATTCATAGAGAATTTAAACCTTATAGAGTTCAGCCAGCCCAGTGTGATAATAAATGGGAGAAAAAATCAATTATATTTAATGAAATAAAAAAATAAAAATAATATTATATAAAAATGTCCTAAAAATAGGAATAGAAATAAATATAGAAAAAATTATCGAACAACTAGAAAAAGTTTGTGGAGAAAATTCATTATTATTTTGGAAACCATATTACTCAAAAGCCAAAATAGAATTAACAGAAAATGTTATAATAAAAGTTAGACCAATGATATATATTATAGAAGATACACATGTATTTAAAAAATCAAATAAAGGAATTGTTAGAACAAAAACTTATTAGACCTAGTAGTGGATCTCATAGTAGTCCAACCTTTATGTTATTAAATATTCTGAACAAGTTAGAAGAAAAGCTAGATTTGAAATATTCTTAAACAAATATACTAAATTTGATGGTTACTTTCTACCAAATGAAGAAGTGTTAATAAATCTTGTAAGAGAAAAACAATATTATTTTAAATTTGATTGTAAATCAGGATTTTGGCAGATAAAGATGGAAGAAGATAGTATACAATATACTGCATTTTAGCACACCTCAAGGAAAATATGAATGGTTAGTTATGTCATTCAGCCTAAAAAATGCACCACAAATATATCAAAGAAAGATGGACAATATATTTAAAAAGTTTAATGAATTTCTAATTGTTTATATAGATGATAAATTAATATGTTCTAATAGTAAATAAGAACATAGAAATCATTTAATCCAATTTATTAAAGAATGTAAAAAAGAAGGAATTGTACTATCTAAAAAGAAATATATAATAGAAAAATAAGAGATAAACTTTCTTGGATTATCAATAGATAAGAGATGGATAAAATTACAGGCTCATATATCCAAAAAAATAGAAATTTTTTCAGATAAATTAGAATCCAAAGAATAAATTCAAAATTTTTTAGAATGTTTAAACTATGTAGAAGGATTTATTAAAAATCTTTCTAAGAAAAGACATAAAAATCAAAGTTTTACTTAAAAAAACAAATACTAAAGGATAGAATGAAGAACATACAGAAATAGTTAAATCGTTAAAAGAAAAATGTAAAAATTTACCAAAATTAAGATTATCGGATGAAAAAGATATTAATACTGATGCCTCGGATAAATATTAGACAGCAATATTAAAAGCAGATCTAAGTGAAATTTGTAGATATTCAAGTGAAATCTTCAACCAAGTAGAAATAAATTATACTACTCATAAGAAAGAATTAGTAGCAATTATTAGAGGAATAAAAAAGTTCTCATTATTTTTATTGTCCAAAAAATTTATTGTCATAACTGATAATTCTCAAGTTGCAGGATTAGTTAGGAATAAATTACCATCAGAACCTCAATACAGAATGCTCAATAAATGGCAAGCTTATTTAGCATTTTATAATTTCGATATAGTCCATATTAAAGGAGTTAATAATTTTCTTGCAGATTTTCTCAACAAAAATATAGAATTTGCTTATGGATAAAGCCAAGGCCATGACATTATACCAATCTATCCTATACAAAAAAAGACAGATTTTCTTAAAGAAGAATTCAAAGATATAAACTCTGGAGCAACCCAGATCTCAGAGATGTTCAACTCAAATATAAAAATACTGTTGAATATCACTATTGAGCATCATAAATATGCCATAGAACTCAAAGATCAAGTTGACGCTATTGCAGCACAGCTAAAAGATATACCGTTTGAGACAGATATACCAAATAGCTCAGAAATGAGTTTTTCAAATCAATACCAAACAGAGACAGTTGGAAGCAGCAGTGAACCTAGACGTGAAAACATACCAACTGATAATAAAGGAGATTCCATTTCAACCAAAAAAGTTATGATACATGGAGATAAAAGAAATATCAAAATAATCAGCATCATAGACCAAGAAGATAAAATCCCTTTAGATCCAAAAGAAGAAAAGTATGATGAAATAGTCAAAATTACTTATGAAATAAAAATAAGTGATTCATATTTTATTTTTTCAGGAAATAATGGTTATCCCATAATAACAGTCATGGAAGGAGGAGACCCTTCATTTATAAAAATTATGGCAGACTATGGATTCATGAATCTGATACATCTAGGAAAAGATTTGATTGAATTTCGAAATTTGATGACATATTCATTAAAGAAGTATCCAGATTTGTCAAGAGAAGGAAAATATATTTGAAATTATATTCAATCAGTCTATAATATGATGGAGTTGTTTATTATCCAGTTGAACACATAATCTCAATTAGATATGTTGCATCCAATTTTCAAATTGATGTTACAGAAAATAATAGAGAAGTTCCGATGGTGACCAAATCATGGATCAAACATAGAAGAGCACTTGGAATTAAAGCCATTTATAACATTGCCAAAAATTTGTTTGATAAAAAATTCTCATACTTGTGCCAATATGAAAATTGGATGTTGGTATCCAATGGAGGATATGAAAAATCAGAAATTTTAGAAGACTATATTACAAGATTTGATATACATAAATTTCCAGGATATCCTACCACTATAAAAGAATCCTACCAGTTAAGGGAGTGCCCCAACTGCATGTGAAGAAATGAAGGAAGAGGACAATAATAGAGCACCTTTGACAAAGATGTATGAAAAACAATAATACAGCTGCATGTGAAGACATTGAAGATAAAGAGCAATAATAGAAAAATATGCTATTTGGATAAAAAGTTGAAACAACATGTGAAGATGTAGGCCCAAGAAGGAAAATAATAGAGAGGCAAGTGTGCCTTGTTAATGTACTCAATGATGTAATAGAGTCTCATAAACTTGTATAAATAGAGACATTGCCATAGAGAAAGATCATCTGCTATTGAAATCTCGAGTTGTAAGTAATAGTTATTCAAAAAACTATTCCCAGTTTAAAAAATCAGTTTTTCTGAAAATCTCTTTGTACCAAATAGAAGTCTTGTATAAATTCTGATAGAAATAAAACTCCAATATTTTGATATGAATACGAGTTTCTAAATCTTTATTCCCATAAATTCTTGAAAGATTTGATAAAAAGTTTCATTCTTATTTTAATAAAAAGAAAGTTTTTCTTTAACAGAAATCTAGAATTTTATTTTTTAGAAGTTGATACAGTGAGAGCAAATAGCTGAAATAGTAACAATTTCGTGAAGGCAAGAAGCCGTTAAAGGAATCAGTTTACATTTTCAAAGCTCGAAGGTCACTTGGTTCTATGAATAAAAGTCCAGATCAAACCTAAGGTAAAACTATTAAATTTTTGCTAAAATTAAAATGAACCTTTTTAAGATCTTAAAGAATCGTAAAGATTAATTGATGATTATGATAATGCCGGGATATACAATTGAATGATTAGATAATTTATTAGAAAAAATGTTAGAAAAGATAAAGAATATTATCTCTCAATTAGAAAATATAAATTTACCATTTGAAGAATATAGCATTTTTTAGAAAATATGAAATATATGTTACAGATTTATTAGATCATACAATGGATTTATATTCAAATATTCAAAGTAGAAGATAAAATGTTTAAAAAATTAGAATATATATTACAATATAGAAAGAATCATTTCATTAAAGGTAATATAGATCTTTCAACAAAAAGGAATAGTGATAAGCCAAATAGAAAAATCTCTCAAAAATATTGGAGCTTATCTTATTGATGGGCATGAAGGGGGATTTGTCTCCTTGTATTGTAGGACGAGAACCAATTCAACACGTGTTTGCCCATTATAAGAAAGTCTTTTTACCAATAGGCGATCAATGCTTTAGCAATCTTTTCTTATTTCTTATTGACAATTATTTTGGATTTCGAGTCATTGATCTCTGTTATTATTATTATTATTATTATTATTATTATTATTATTATTATTATTATTCGTATTATTATTTTTAATAGATTTTGAAGTAATCTCATCTCAATTAAATGTTGACTTTCGATTAATTGCACTTATAACTATAAAACGACATTTAATGGTTTGATATGTGAGAAATTTCTTACTAGCATCTCTAGTTTGAGCCCACCCTATACTTGCCTCTCAACAAAATTTAGTTTCTTGCCCCTCGGGACACAGCTCAACTGGTGGATCAATCAATATTTATTTTGTTTCTAGCGGTAGGGTGGAGGTTCGATTCCTGGTGGGAACCTACGGCCAGATTTATTTAGTATGGAGCAATCACTTTGGAGGAGGATTTCTTGTGCGCATAAGTGTACAGGTGGTGAGGGGAACCTATGATCCAGTTGAAGCATAACTCGCGATTTACCTCCTCTAAGGTTCTAGGGGCAAAGATTTTGGGGGTCCAGAATTTAGTCTAGTGTAAACTGGGATACCTGAATATAAAAAAAAAAAAAAAAAAATTTAGTTTCTTGCCTTGCCCACAAAACTTTAAGGCCCGTAGCGTAGGTATTGGTAGAATCTTTTATGTACTTGGACTAATGGCTTCTTGTCAAATGCAGACTAATTTCGTTTTATCCTCGATTCTACGGACATAAAGTACCTTTTAAGCTTTGTCCAGTTTCCTAATCCGTACTCTTGGAAACCTCGTAAGTAGTACAGTTTAAGCAAAATAATTGCACAAAACAAGCCTATTTTAAATGCTGGCTACACTTTTCTGTACCGTATTGTTCGTTGCTTCAATTTTCAGTTCCCTCCTCCCCTTTCGTGCACCTGTGTGTTCATCTTTAACGGCCATATAATGCCCAAAAAATAATTAAGTGCAGAAAACCCACCTCCAAGTGTTCGACGAAATGCCTGAACGATGGTTATTCTCATTACAACCCAAACTAACATAACCAAATTCTACAACCCTTTATTGCATTTGAATAATCGAATGATCCCTTCTCTGATTTTTGTACTTAATGCCAAAAAAGGGACTCGAAGTAATAAAAACTTTGCAATCTTTAGCCGTTCTTATGGGTTTCTTGAAATGAAAAGGACGAGGAACTTCGAGGACGGTAATTGTAGCTCTTGGTGTAAACAGATTGAAAGTGACGCAGAATTGGAGGCTGAAATAATGGAGTTTATGGAGAAATCTGAGAAGCCAACGATGTTTCCGACAAAGAAAGATTTGGTAAGAGCCGGAAGAGTGGATTTGATGGAGGCTATAAAGAAGAGAGGTGGGTGGTATTCACTTGGTTGGGAGGATGATAATGAGAAAAATGTGGGGGAGAATGTAGAAGAGGATATAGATTTTGACGTTGGAGAGTTTCATAAGAGAGTTGAGAGTTGTAAAGAGATTGCTGCTGTGGGAGAAAATGATGTTAATTCTTTTTCTGGGGATTCTTTGGTCGAAAACGAAGAGAGATTATCTTCTGGAAATCCAAATTCTTTGCAGCTGACTTCATCATCGGGTAGATCACTGTGAGATTTTTCGCCTTCAAACTTTCTTGAAGTATGCTTCATTTATGATTTCCCTCTGACTCGGGCTGTCTCAAGTACGAGCTGGGAAAGCTTGAAAACAAGTCCTATTTGAAATCTTAGTGAAACACTAGGTTCTTGACTTATCTTTGTGTGTTTCCAGTTGTTGATTTGACTTCTGTTGTCCTTTGATTATTTTTTTACTATATTAAGCCCCTGTTTGACCCCCATTTTCATTTTTGAAAAAGAAGGAAAAATTTTCGATTTACGTGTAATATTATTTTATGAAAGATTGTGTGGTTGAAAATAGGAGAAAGAAAAATGAAATGTAATGTAATTGAATTTAATAGGGATCAAACGGGGGCTAAAACCCGTCTTTTGAATCTTGACGCCACCACTATTTGGTGCTTAGCCCTTTTTTGGTCCTATTTGAAATCGTAGTGAAACACTAGGTGACTGTTTTGGGAAGCCTGCTTATTGAGAATTTTTATTTTTTTGGCTCAGAGAAATTGGGGCAGAGGAAGATACTGGAATTAAGGGAATATTGAGTAGATTGGAGAAGCAGAGGAATACAGATTTTGGAATTAATTTAGGCAAATATGGATATCAAACTCAATCCTCAAGTACAGATGAAAGGAATGATTGGTATTTCCGAATACCTATAGATGAAGGTAAGTTGGTTTGATGAATTGGTAATGAATTTATTGTATATTTTGTTTGCTAATTGGACCATGTGGCTTTTCTACCTCAAAAAAGAGGACATATTTTACATGCTTATACATTTACAAGTGTCACTGTTATTGTTGATGTTGAAGATCAAATGATCTTGATTTAGTTTGTATTCCTGCATATTAAAGCTTGAGACGTAATGTTTACTATAATCATAAAAGACAGCACTGATGCTGGGGAAAGCACCAGATTCACGTCAAGTATTCCCACCAAAGGTGTAGTTCATAACTCAGGAGGCAAGATTACCCCCAATATTCAGCCAGAAACATGGAGAACTTGGAGCATTCAGCGGGAAGGCTTCCAATATACCGAATTTGAAGGTACCTGATTTATATTTTAGTTTTATAGGAGGTTTTACAGTGCTTTACTCTGGTTTTGCCAACATCTTCAAGTCCCCGAAATGTGCAGCCGCTGAGATTTCATACAGCAAAAATCAGGTGGAACAAAATAAAGAAGCTGTGAAAACTGGAATAACTGCGAGTACTGAGAATAACCCTGAAGCTCTGGATGGATATGTGATCAATCACAATCAGATACGAACTCGTCTTCGGCACCTGGAATGTGAGCTTAACACAGCTCTTCACTCCTTGAGGTCTAAAAGAGAGTGCATATTTGACGAGGTATGCATATTATTCATGCATAATTCTTTTTACCCTGTTGCAGTGGATTCCATAGGTTTTATACATACATTACAATCAGTGGGAACAAATAAAAATACTACAGACAAAGCTTGTTGTGTACGAGTCGTAAATTATTATATTTGATCTAGAATAAAAAATGAAATGAATGTTGAGCTAATTGCGGTAGGGTGAGTTTACATATTTCACCTGGAAGAAGATAAACTGTTATACATGGTAACATGCATTTTACAATTAAACAAGAATGGTTACCTTATTCATTCCTATGACCTTCTTTCATGCATCTGGAAAATGTTTATGTGGGCCGTTGTTCAATCAATAACTGATGACTTAATCAGGTTTGTGGAAGCTCCTCCAGTGATTTGCAAATGCTTTCTGATGCATGGGAGCTCAAAGAGAATGAGTACATGAATGCCCAGCAGAGATTGCGATCGATCCGAGCGAAGCTTGCTGTATTAGAGGGGAAAATGGCATTAGCAATAATGTACTTATCTAATTCAGTTGATTTCTAGTTCCTAGTTTTTATAATTGGCTCTTATCACATCCCTGACACAATTCTGCAGTGATGCACAGAGGATTGTGGAAGAGAAGCAGAAGAGTATTGATGTTGCACATAAAGCATTGCAACTTCTTCGTACTGCCTACATAGTTTGGCCTAATTCAGCTTCAGAGGTTCTCTTAGCGGGTTCTTTTGATGGTTGGACAAGTCAGGTCATAGCTTCTTCTACAATGTTTAGTGGGAGATAGGAAGTTATCTTTCTCTTTTATTATACTTACTGTATGTGATATTAATTAAGCCTTTGTTGGGCAAATTTATAAATGGTTTCTAAAGAGGAATAATTGTGGGTCTTCCCAATAAATGTGTGGATAATAATGAGTAGTAGTTATGAATGTGTGGTTGAAATTAATGTTTGACTTTGACTGAATTTATAAACCATTTATAAATTAGTATCCAAACGGAAGCTTAGGTTTTCCTTCATTAGATGCTTTCATGGGTGATTGGATATGAACTCGTTAAAATTCCCTGATAAAATGGCAAAAAAACTGCAGAGCTTGTTTTTAAGAATAAAGGAGATATTCGAGATTTGAATTATGGAGGTTCAAAGCTCACAGTTCATACTATGGAATTATGGGAGAGAGTGATTGGACATAGATTAAGGTGAACATCAAAGGTCTTCGGTTTAAACAATTTGGTTAAATGACCAGGAGATGTGCCATTGAAGTCATTTTCCGACTTGAATTGATGGAGAATATTGATAAAAGAAATGATTTGCAAAAAAAAAAAAAAACTATGATAACTTTCAATTAGATGTGTAGCAGGTGCTAAGTGAGAAAGAATTTCAACTGGACAACGTCATTAAGGCTATGTATGATGTAAGAGTTGGTGGTTCTATAACTGTAGGCTTGTGCCAAGAGATACCTAAAACCTTATCTTTTTGCGATAATCATAGATGAGTTTACAAGACACATCAAAGATAAGGTTTCTTGGTGCATATTATTTGTTGATAACATAGTTTAGTGGAAGATACTGGGAAAGGTGTAAATCCGAATTTTGAACTTTAGAATCTGAAGGTCTTCGGTCAAGTAGAACCAAGACGGAGTACATGGATTGCCATGTAGTAAGAAAAGAAATAACAATGATAGTAGAGTCCTTATAGAGAATCACGTTGTCCGATGGATGTTTTAGGTATTTAGGTTTGATTATCAAGTCTTCACAAGTTGAAATGCTAAGGTTCATGCATATTGAGCAGTGATATGAAAATACTTCGAAAGGCAAGCTCTATGTATTTAGTGGTTACAAGACCGGCATATTATGTGATCGGAAAACACTTATAAGGTCAAAAGGCTATATGAAGCGGTTATAAGACCTGCTGTGTTTTAATGAGACTTGAGTGATTGAGTCGTTAAATGACAATATGCATAAAATGAATGTAGAGGAAATAAGGATAGTAGAATTTATAAGATAGGATAAAGCCCCTGTTTGGCCCCCATTACGGGGAAAATTTAATGTATAGAATAGTGTTTTTTGAAAAATGAGTGGTTAAAAAAGAAAGAAAAATTTTCGATTTACGTATAATATTATTTTATGGAAAATTGTGTGGTTGAAAATAGGAGAGAGAAAAATAGAATGTAATGTAATGTAATTTAATGAAAATCAAACAGGGGCAAAATAAGTGAATGATGGCATGTCGGGGGTACGCCTAAAAAGATCAGGCCACCATTGAGTTGCCTCCCAATTTAAATTTAGATGTTATGACATTCCTCCTGAAAAAATAACATTTGATGGATGAGGTGGGGACAACTTAATGTAAATTATCTGCAAATTTTTCCAATATTGTCCAATAATGAAACAGATTGAATATCATGTTATTTCTTGCACTTTTTGGTACAACAGTATATTTCAGCATAACTTGTAGCCAATATCTTGAATTTGTCTGAGCGAACATTTTAGCAAATTGTTATGCAAACATCTGAATTCAAATTTGTTTCCATATTTAATTGAACTGTTTGATCAAGTCCTAGCTGTGCTTTAGGTTGTTCCAGCTTTCTTTGTCCCTGTTTCTCCTCTTTATTATTTTCTATATTTTTATTTTTATTTAATGCAATAGAATTTCAAAAGTAATCCTTGTGCTTGCACGCACATCACTTGCTCGAATCTTTACCAATATTATGGACGTATTTTGGAAGGTCGCATTCTATCTATACATTAGTGTTAGGTTTAAAGAAGTGCAGGAAAGGATTCATGCAGCAACTTGTATTTATTGGGAACCAGGCGTAGCTTGTTCTTTGATTTTGTATGATGGGCAGCCTATGTTTGGCTCATGTTTATAAACTATTTATAAACATTCAAGACACTTTTTGTCCACAGATTTAGAGTGACGTACAAGTATTACCCATTTATCCACCACTCATTATATATATAATCTAAATGGTTTATAAACAATTCCCAAGCATGCTGTAGTGACCAAAAATTGCATTTTTACCCTGTTCTGATTATTGAGACATTTCAATTCAGCTAAACTAACCACGTAAAATTTTGCCAACAAATCGATTTCTTTCATAACCATGATTTGATTATAACTATTCTTGATTAGTAGTGCGATATGCTTCTTTAAATTGCAGAGAAAGATGGAGAAATCAAGGACAGGCATCTTCTCAGTGTGCCTCAAGCTCTATCCAGGTAGATACGAGGTAAGTTGATTTCCAAACACCAACAATATTTTGCACGTGTCCATTGAATTATGTACTTTTAAATGCCTCCTATAATATTTGACAGATCAAGTTTATTGTTGATGGCATATGGAAAGTTGATTATCTACGTCCCATCGTCCACAATAATGGCTATGCAAATAACCTTCTTATTATCACATGAAGCCACAAAGTATGAGGGCAGCAACACTAGTCGAATGATCATTTTGTAGCCCCAGTTTGGTTTAGATTTTTAGCGGAACCAAACATGGGCATAATCCCTCTTTATCACCTGCAGGGAGTGTGTGCATAACAACATGCTTAGGATCATGTATTTTACTAACAGGCTATAAGCTTTTGACATCACCCTATTCTTGTTCTTTGTATTGTGTATATTGGCTGAAGAGTTTGAAGTACTGATAGAATCATTTTTTTCCCTTAATTCAGATCCATGTATTTCTTAGTATAGATAATTCATGCTCTAAGACAACAATGCGATTAGGATTGGACATGGTCCGATTCGATTTGATTCTAACAAGACTCGAACCGGACTCGAAATTTTCAAGTATTTAGTAGGTGGAACCGTTGGATCCAAATTTAATTATGGAACCGTTCGGATTCGATTCCATTCGATTCCCAAGTTCCGTGTTATAATTAAATTTTTTAATATTTACAAAATTATATTAATTCAACTAATGATATGTTAAATCTTAGCTCTTACAAAAATTCAATCTTATATGTTTTGCGTTTCTCTTTGCTGAGTTTTTCGTAGATTTGATTGTTAAAATCACAGGAAGAGGAAATATGGAGTTCAAAATAAGTAAGAGAAGTGTTGTCAAGCTTCAAATTGATTTTGCCATAATGATAGAAACGGCACTACGGTAGAGTAATAAATTTAGATAAAACTTAGATCAATCTGATTAAGTTGTCTTTAAATTGAAAATTAGAAATGAGAAAATCATATTTTTGGGTTTGAGCTAAATTAATTAGTTAGCAAATTTATTTAGAAAAAAATAAAATAATTTGGCTTACTTAAAATAAATTAATTAAAAAATTAGGGAGATTCGGTTATTTGGTATGTGATCTAGAATCGAGAATCGAATCAAACTCGTCGGTTTTCGATTCAAATATCCGTTCGAGTATTTAACTTAAGAAGAAACGCTCGGTTCAATTTGATTTGGGAGTTTTATCCAGCCTCAAATGCGATTATCAGAATTATGAAATCAAAAAAGGGAAATTGGCAATGACAAAATATTGTGAGGAGAATCAAATTTTTGTTGAACTATTTGAGTTCAATAACAAATCTAAACCTATGTTTGTTCTTTCAAAATGAGCAAGCAAGAATTTTAAAAAAGAGAGCTCAACAACAAAATAAAGGATCTGAAAATTCATCTGATTTGTTTGGAAATTGTTTTGAGGATATCAGAGAATCTGGAAATGATCTTCCAGAATACTAAACTATGCACTTGTTTTTATGAATCATTTTTTTTAATAAAAACTAAAATTAGATTAATGTATGTATCTTATTGTTTAATATATTTCATGTTACCTTTAAATAATCGTGTTTGTTATATTTTAATTTTTTTGTATTCTTATTTTAATTAATTCATTAATTTTTATTCTTTACATGTAAAATTTATTTTAAATGTAGATGATGATGATGATGATGATGATGATGATGATGATGATAATAAAAATTCATTGTATTATAGAATATATAGCACAAATGACACAAATATCCCTAATCAATTTATTTGGAAAATGAAAATAAAAGGTGAAAATGACTTTGAACAATTTGCACTCCAATCTCATTGGTTGGTTAGAGCTCTCTTCAAGAAGAGTCTAAAGTAGAGCGTGAAGTAGAAAAGTCAAGAAGTTAAATGAAATCCCAAATGGAAGGTAGGTAGTCATTGTCAAGATGGAAAGCTACCCTTTAACCACCTTTTTAAGCTTACTATGATCAAGTCTTTATATATAAAGTAACTAAGCTAAAATTAAAAGAAGTAATAAGTTAGAACCTTATCATGATACACAAATTAATTTAATTATTCATAATTTAAAATAAACTCTATTTTAAAATCATATCTAAATTATATCTCTATCTCCATCATTTCTCTCCAATTGAGAGAAGTCAACTCCTACAAGATGGACTAGAACTTCATATTCCAATAAGGAAGATCAGTTGTCTTAACCAAGTGTCTGCATATAAATTAATTAAGTTAAAATCAAAAGAACTTCTCATAAATTAGAATTTTATCAAAATATCAAAAATAATATAATTATTTGTAATTCGAAACAAACACTATTTTAAAATCACATATAAATTATAATTTTGTATCTATATTATTTTTCTCCAACTGATAGAACTTGACTCCGGTGAGTTAGATAAGAACTTCATACTTCAAAGGAGACGATCTTTCTTATAAACCAGATAATGAAATGAACAATTTTTAGTAACAATAAAACTGTTAATCATCCCAAAAAATATAATCTCACCAAGGGGACGACCTCTCCTTCTAACCGAATAGTGAAAGGGAAGACCAAAAAGCAAAAACTTATATACTTCATCCACAAAAACTTCAATTGGGAGCATACAATGAGGAGAACAGGGGATAGCTATAGAGTAGCCTCCAAAAATAAATGATTGCAAAATTAAGGCTCAAATGGACTCGAATAAGGAAACAATTATATTGTATTAAAAATATAAATTTCATTCAAGAGTGATGGCTAGTTAAATAGAGATTATCTTTATACTAATGATCTAAAGACTTTTTCTTAACATATTTAGGAAACTAGGTCATGGAGAAATGTAATAAAATATAATAATTACCATCAAAGTCTTCAAGCCTATATTGGACATCAAAAGTATGTTCGAAAGTTTAATGATTGAAAACAAGTTGACCTTTTATCTTGGCATGAAACTTAGGAATGTTGACAACAAAGAGAAGAGCTAACAAATATGTCAATAATTAGTAGGCAACATCCGAATATCAATAGAAAGAGTGTGTAAGCGGATAATTGCAAAAAAATATGGTAAGCCGAAGAGTATCAATCGTTTGAGGTAAAGCCACAACCAAGTCAACCTTAAAGTCACGTAAAGGGGTAGGCGATAACACATTTGACATGGGATTGAGGATGCATGGAATGTTTGGCTGAGGTGGCAATGTTATAGGAAATTCCACAACTGTATCATTGTCAATTATGTCCCAAATTGATGTGAGAAAGGATAGGAGATAAGTCTCAAAACTCTCATTCTCGCCATCAGAATTGTCAATATGTTCAACAATAAAAAACTTCATTTTCTTCTTAAAGAGGATGATTAATACAACTAGACTTCGAAAGTGATTGGTGTGACTAGAGTGGTATTCCTAGTTTATTACATGATTGGGATGCGGGAAAGTCGTCAAGGAATATTTCAGGATTCAAATCACTGAAAAACTTAGACTTCGTGATGTGAGAAGTTTCGTAAATATAACATCTGTACAATGGTTCTTTGAAGTGGCTAGTGTAAATATTATGTACTAGGTCCAATCAATTTTGGACATAAATACTATTGATATATATTTAATGCAATTTAATGACAGATCTATTATTTAATTAATAGACAATTATATAAATAATAGAGTCCGAAAATTCAAATTTTCGTAATTTGTTAATCACAAGGAGTTGTGATTGTCAGATACAAATTACATCTGATTAAATCTTAAATCGTCCGTGGTCGTAAGTGATAACTAGATACGGATATCGTTGTTATGGATAGACCATCACGTGTGGCATTTCTTACTCGTAAAGTAAGTAGCTGATCTCACAAGTTAAAGTGTGGTGACACTTAAATGAACATGTGGATGTTTTGTTATAGAACAAAACATTGGATACCCGTCGAGAGATTCTCCATGGATAGCTATCTGAGTGTCAGTGGTTAATCTCTAACGTTTGATAGTGGAATTGGTCCTTTGACTTGAGGTCGTCATGGTACCTTATATGAGGATAGTCATACTTTGACGGTGTTGGATGTTGCTTTGCAAAGGGCCGCTAATACGACATCGTTCGGGTACGTCAAGAATCGTATGAAGGTTGTGATTGATCAATAAATGATTCGTCACTCTTAGATAGTAGGAGATTATGATTTGCGTTTCATTCAATTAAGTCGATGATGAAATCCTTGGCCAAGGTGTACTTATAAGTCGAAAAGGAATTTTCGACTTATATTGACTTAATAGTGGAGTGAAAGCTATGATCGATGATCGAAATTGACACACTTCCATATCTCATAATTGATCGGATCATATTGACGAAGGGATTATAGTTTCACGGTAAACAAACGAGTTTGGTTTTGTCACACCACATGACATTTCCCGTCACATGTATTGCCCTAACACATTGTTAGATGTCAATCAGGGACGGCGAGTGTGAATTGACGATAAATTAAAAGGGTGTTTTAATTTATCAATTTTGATTAGATCAAAATAATATTTCACGTTGTTAGGTATCGTGGTCGGGAACCTAATGGGTCACACACAAAAGAGAATTGGAAGATTTCAAATTGCCAATTGGTTAATTTAACAATCGTTGGATAAATTAATTAATTGGATTTGTTATTTATATTCCCGAATTAATTAATTGGATGAATTAATTTACGGACCGGGTTTAATTAAATGGATTAATTAAATATGGACCGGATCGGGTCGAGCCCGTTTGGGTTTATATAAATACATGGTTAGGGTTTGAGATCCATATGGTTTTCATTATTCTTGCTGGCACAAGAGGAAAAACCCTGGTAGCTATAATCTTATTCTCTGTGTGGATCACCGTTGGAGGCTGGACAATTGAACAGTTATGGATGGAGAATCAAGATTGCTGGAACGAAAAGAAAAGCAAAAGGTTTGCAGAATTCGTCAAAGGTACAATTTTTATCACGATTTCTATCTAAACACAAAGGGATTCTCGGTGGAATCGAAATGATTTTAATTTTTCGCTGTGCATGTATAAGTAGATTCCCAACAGTGGTATCAGAGCCTACTTTGTATTTGTTAGGAATTGATCTTTGATTGTTATTGTTTTTCATGTTTCTAGCAATTAAGAAAATTAATTTTCCTATTCAAAATTGGTTTTGAGAAAGAAAATAATATTTTTGGATTGGAATATATATAATCGAAACAAAAAAAGGGGGTGGGATGCCGATAGCAACAGTTGCTCCTGGTGACGGCAACGCGGCTGCTGGGTGTCGATGTGGCAGCGGCGTCTGCCGCTGCTATAGCAGCTCGAAAGCGTTGCTTCTATAGCAGCTCTTTTGCACTGCTGATGCTGCAGGAGCCGTCGCGCCAAGCGGCTCCTGCTGTGGGCTGTGGCACCGCCAGAAGAAGTAAAAGAAAAAAAAACTGTTAGGGTTTCAGTCGGTTTCGGGTGAGATGCATTGGAGGCGGGGGCTTCTGAGGCAATTTA